AAATATGTTGACTCGGCAATTTAATTGATTATTCCTTTGTTTGAGCCCTATTTTTTGGTCAAAATGTATTTTGTAATAGTGTTTTGTTGGAGAATGTGTGGTTAAAAATAAGGAAAATTTTTGAATTTATGTGTAACATTATTTTGTTAAAGAATGTGTTGTTGAAAATAAAAGAGAAAAATATATTTTGAAAATAATCTATACCAAACAAGGGTTTGATAATTATAATTCATAATCCTTAATTATATGAATAAATTGATATTTTCTTTTGCCCTCAATTCTTCGTTTCTTTACATCCCTTTCTTTTTTTAATCTTCAATTGTTCGTTGTCAAATATACGCTCCTTCATCAATACGGTAATAAAAATGTTCCATTACCTTGATGGGTAAACAAGCTAATTTCATCACCAGAAATGGACATTTTTTTTTTTTGAATATAAGCTTCCTACCTTTCTCCGCTTGATAGGATCCGCAGGCTGGTGATTAAAATGGAAACTAATATTAGCCTGAACCAAAGAAATAAACTCGAATAAGATCAGAACATCACTGCAAAGTTCATAAAAGGAAACGAACCATAATGATTAGCATTCACATCTTTAAGCGCTTGTTTGGCCCCCATTAAATTAAATTACATTACATTACATTAAATTTTTTTCTCTCTTCATTTTAATCACACATTCATCAAATAAAATAATATTACATACAAATTAAAAAAATTTCAACCACACATTTTCCCATCAATCACTATTCTAAAAACTTTCAACCCCCAAAAATGCAAAATAATGGGGGCCAAACAGGGGCTAAAACTGATCTCACGGTATCTGTACCGCATAATACTCCTAAATATGAAAATAAATAAATCAATAATACATTATACAGCATTCAAAGTTTGACAAGACCAGCTGCTGCTTCACTTGGAAAGGTCTATTCTCAAAATGTGGGGGTGTTTGACACCCATTTNGATAAGCCAAAAAATTTTATTTTTGAAATGAAATTTTATGTGCTAGACGCTTTAATGTAAGGGGGTGTTTGACACCCATTTTTGTGGAAAAATATGTTTTTGAATAGTGATTGATGGAAGAATGTGTGGTTAAAAAGTAAGGAGAATTTTTAGATTTATGTGTAATATTATTTTTTTGATAGAATGTGTGGTTGAAATGAAGAAAGAGAAAAAGAATGAGAATGAGAATGAGAAAAAAATGGGTGCCAAACGGAGGCGTAATATAACTAAAAAATCTAAATGAAGCTTTCGATTCCGTATAATCTTTTATGTTTCATCTTCTAAGTGTAAATGAAAATTGCCACACAAAAGGAAAGAAAAAGGAGAAAAAGGAAAAAGTTTTCTAAACAATTTAAAACAAATAATACCAGTTGCATCTCCAAAACTCTGCAATTTATGCAGTTCTTCATTTTTCTGTATGTTATTGAGTACCAATAATGAAATAGACTACGATAAAATTGTCCAATTGGGTCAACCACCAAGATAATCATCTGAAGCCGAACAAATAATTACCCAAAAACTTGGGAGTGTCAATATACTGAAACCCATGTAGGAGAGTTGCAATTTAGGTAGCAGAAAGAAGGTTTCCAATATGTTACAGAAATTCTCTATTTGAGTTAATAGAGAATTGAAATTCTCCCAATAACTAAAAATTTCCAGCCCTTTTTGGGCTCCATAACTAGAATGAGTATTTTATCAGAAGAGGCTGATGACAAACTAGGAATCAGAGTTCTATCTCTATGTGCAATAAGGCATGATTTGCATGAAATAACACCTAAGTCAGTCAAAAATTCTCTCCCCAGTGGAGAATAGAAGGAAAAAAATTGAACTAAAGATACAAAGTGACCCTGGGATGATAAAAACTGCTCTCCAGCTATCCGAACTAGTGAGATCCAACTGAGCAGCCTTAGCGGCTTCAAGAATTCGACCAGTAAGATCGACCCCAATAATGCCAGCTAAGGTACCGGCTGTGTTAGAAACCCCCATTACAATTCCTGCATACCTTGGAGCAACATCCATGTGATTTACTGCAAATCCAGCTCTCCCCAGTGCCAAGAAACCAAGAGCCATAGAAGAACAGAACACAACTCCACCAGGTGTTCCGAACCTGGGAAGAGCCATTAATGCAAAAGAAGCCACCACAAATCCTATGGTATTTAAAAGCTTTCTTGTTCTAGTCACAGACAAGACTCTCCTGGTAATCAAGTGATCTGCAATCACCCCACCAATATTTGAGAACAGAAACATGTTGAAATAAGGCATCATCTTAGAAGATCCCATGTCTTCAAGACTAAGCTGGAGGTCCAATTCAAAGTACGTCGGAAGCCAGTTCATGAGCACGTAAAGAGCATAATGGAAAGTGAAATTATTCACCACAATTGCCCAAACTGGCAAACTGAAAATAATTTTCTTCCATGGAATTTTTGGGGAGCTGATGGAATGTCCTCCATTCTCAACTTTCGTCTTTTGATTCCCTTTAATTGGCAACAAAAATTCCCCAAATCCAGCAGCAGTGGCTTTTGGATGCTCAGAACGAGGTGGGTCAATGGCATACTTAAACCAAAGTACAGACCAAATGGCACCTAAAGCAGCTTCGGCAAGAAATACTTATTGCGGACCTCGAAACTTAACCGGACTCGGAAGAACAAGCATTCCTGCAGCTGCACCAAAATACATCCCGGAAGTTGTCAGGGAAACAGATCTTGATCTTTCATGTGGTGGTACCCATTGTGCCAGTACAGTGTGAATGGAGGGAAAGATGAAGCCTTGTGCAACTCCGACCAGCAAGCGGGCTATCACCAGTATCGTAACTCGGTTCAGATCAAGTGGCACAAAAGCACATGTTATAGACCATAAAACAAATGAAAGTAGGAGAATACGCCTTCCCCCAATTTTTTGGGCTGCCCAACCGCCCGGAACTTGTGAACAGGCATCCCCATAATAGAATGTTGAAAGTATCATGCCCTTGCTTGTTTGATTTACTCCTGTGGCATCAGAAGCAGCAGTATATGCAATGGAAAAACCTACACGTTCTATGTAGCAGACAGAAGTGCAGATGAACGTCAAAATTACTATCACATGGCGCTTTGGAATGTTTGTTCTCTTCATTCTCTTTTGGGTTTACAAACAGAAATCAAAAAGATATGGACTACTCTTCTATTTAACAAACTACCTGTAGCTTCACATGACTTTGATTTTACCAAAATGAATCCAAAAACAACAGCAGCAATTCCATGACTCCAGAAACCGCCAAACTAGAAGCCCTTCCTGGATTTAAAATTGGACTTGACATTCATTAATGTGTTAAGAAGATAACTGTGCAAGAAAATTTCATAAAATGAGCAGAAAATCATATAAGATGATGATTTAGAATAGATAGTAGAAGACTTTTAGAGCAACTTCTTGAAACTGAACATCAGATGGTCCTTGTAGCGACCGCGAACTTTTA